GTTTTGCGGCTTCGCCTCCCTCATAGCTAAAAAAAAACTATTTTACTGGTATTGGCTAAACATCCCAATTCTTAAAAGTTACCGGCAAATTACTCAGTTGGGATTACAAGCAGAAACATTTCAAGGATCCACCTTGAAAATAGTCTTGATATTCAGAGAGGCTTTCCTGGGTAAAACAAGCGTAATAATTAATAATGTTACATGTTAAATTAAATGCTCCCACCGCCTAACCATAACGTAATAAAACTAAATAATAATTTGCGTCACTGTAAAGAATGCAACCAAATAAATCAGCAGCCAATGTCACAAAGCCCATCCCCGAGTTTGCTTGTGTTCAACCAATGCTGCTGAAATGCACGCTCAGAACACCATGCAGCTGATGGAATGTGTACAAAATTTGTTTTGGAGGGACAGATGCAGGAGGCCTATTTATTTGATTGTTAACATCACCGACTTATTCACTTTGACTGCAATGCGCTTGGTGATGTATTTTTTTTCAGCTCTACTCAAATTATTTACGCAGTTAGTTCCACCCATTTCCTTGAAGCAACATCGATCCCAAAAACAACAACCCCCTTGCCACGTCCCCCAAATTCAGGGCGCAACTTGAGGTCGCGAAAAAAAATCGACGAGGGAAATACGCAACTTGAGAGGAAAACTCGAGTTATGTGGCTCATGGACATATACTAAAACTAAACTTGTTTTATTTTATGAGGTAAGGCCCACTGAGCTACGTAGCTCTTTTTTAGAAGCGACCTGGCTATCTCAAATTAAAGTTCAACGTGTACATTTATAAAATGGTGTCGTCAGTGGTGTGGTGGTTATCGATTATGCAGGCGGTGCAACTCCACTGGGCTCTGCAGGCCAGAAGGGTTCAGGCCTGTAGAGGGAGGGAATTTGGCTCCCATATCATTCCTTGCATCAGGGTCCGTGTCAAACTACCACGCTATACCACTGGCTATTTTATTTTAGGTCGCTAAAAATACCCTCATCTATTTATTGAATACAAGTTAGCCACAATTCACCAACACGACACTCAATGTGTTGTGTTCGATCTGCAGGGAGCAGGCACAGAGTTCAGTGTCTGTTGTGCCCTCTAGCGGGCAAGGTGGCCTGCCCACTTGAACAAAAGTCCTTGCGAGTAAATCTGATAAAACGCCGAATGACGGGATAGCTCTTTTATATCCCTCCCCCGAAAGGTCACAGCTCTGCAATAAGAAGCAAGACCTTGATGCACAAACAACATTTAACGTCAAACTATTACGACCCGCTGGGCTGCGCAGTAAAAACCACATTTCCTTTTCTCGTCATCTCTTCCCCATCGTTTTTCCCAACCGACTCAATCTCACTTAACATTCAAGCGTCCAACAAAAGTCTGGTAAAGACGCATTCATCAAACAGCTCGCGCCATTTTCCAATCGAGCAATGTTTTTGTTGATTTGTTTGTCAAGAAAGCTCTTGTAAAGATAGGAGCGGTGGGCAAGCAGGGGCGTATGGAACGCGCAAACAAGTCGCTCTCAAAACTCGCGCAACGCCGCCGTCGCCTGCAACCGCTTTGTCCACATTCCAGCGCGTGTTTGGCGCAACGTGCGTCCGTTGAACTTCTTTCGCGCTGTTCGTGGACAACCGCGCTAATCGGAGGTGTCGGGGAAGGACAGCAAACTAAACACAAAAAGGAAGCCAGTCAAAGAGCGTATTGTCCAGGGTCGTAACCATAGCGCTCAAGCTTGTCACGTCATGACGACATACGTCGCTGCAAATTATCCGAGCAGATCGCCGCTTGGAAGTGGAGTCCGTCTCTACCATGAGCAACCGGTTGCAGAGACGTCCCACGTACAAGCGATTCGGTTGCACGCAACTGAGCTGCGCAACTTCTCGCTCGGGTTGTCGAGCCCGCTTAAAGCTCTGCTCCTCCCCACTGGGGGGGGGGGGGTTAGTTCAACAAATGGGGGGCCAGCGGAGAATGAGAGACCTCCCACTTGACCATGGACGTGATGATAGCGCTTTGAGTGGTAGGTTGAGTGCCAGAAAGGCGGGACGTCGCGTGAAAGCAAAAAAATAAAATGGATTCGACACCCAGTGAAGATTTACGAAGAGTTTTTGCCAAGAGAGCCTTGGTAAGAAATTACATCGAAAGAATTAAGCAGAGGCTGTACATGTTGTGTCTGTCCTTATTATGCCACGTTGGCTGTAATGGGAGAATACAAACTAGCCTAACTCCCAATATTGAAACATAAAGGTTAGTCTTATAAAGGGCTCAATTCCAGCTGGGCCTATCTGAGTCAACGAGCTGGAAAATATTTCCACACCCAGCACATCACATCCACCATACCTCTCGCTATGGACCGTCGTGACCACTATTCTGGTGCCACCTATTATTCCAATCGAATCTAAAAGTAAAATATAGTTTTTTTTTTTTATTTCACCAGGTGAGGCCCACTGAGTTATGCAGCTCTTTTTCAGAAGCGACCTGGCCACAAATTATAGCTCAACCAAGTGGCTCATTATCACGTGTACATTTTTAGTATCCAAATACTCTAAACAGCGCACGTTGATTCTAAATGTGGAGGGGAAAACCGAAGGACCCAGAGAAAAATCCAGGCGACCACGGGGAGAACATGCAAACTCCAAATATACAGGCGTCAGGGTCGGGATCCAACCAACGATCTCCTGTATACCATGTAAGGTGGTTAACATCTTGCCACTGTGGCACCCCCAGCGACACAGACAGGATTAAATACAAATTAAGCCTTGGACTGACAGAGCAAATCCAATGGCTACTACATAAACTGGCACGCACACATAAAAAATAATTTCCAAACACTTAATACATATTACAAAAATTTCATTATTACACATCAATAAGATAGAAAGTTCACTCGCGCTGAATGTTTTGACGGGAGACGACTGAGGGCCAAGGCACACACATAATTTCCAGCAGCCAGTTACACGCAGCATGACCTTTGCCCTTTGAACTGCGGAGCAGAGCAGTGGGACGGTGGTTCAAGCACTGCGCTGCTAACTCGGAAACCCGAGTCCAATTCCTGGCCACGACAAATATCCAGTGGTGGCGGGTGGAATCTGAACCGGACCTTGGGAACATACCCGTAATGACCAGCGTGGTGAAGTATGGTCAATCTCTTATAATGTCGTCATTGTCAAGCCATTCTCTGCGAGGTCTTCCTCTCTTTCCGGTTCCTTCCTTTTTCCCCCGAACAACACAGGTTTAAATTTTCGTGTTGTTGTCCATCACACACACGTGCCCAAATAGTGACGGTCTCGCTGTATATTATCGTCATATTAAATTCCACCGAATCAGAACACTAAGGGAACTGTTAGTTCTTGTAGTTTATGCAACCGGCCATATATATGTCAGCCCTCAGCAGCCACCAGGCTGTAAAGAAGGAGGAATCGACGGTTCAAGCCAAGTCATCGATTACCATGGAAAGTGTTTTTTTTTAATCAACAGCAACACGGCTTTGCTAAATAGAGAGCAACTCACACGATGCAAAAAACCTAAAAACTTAAAACAGCCCAATAAAGGTCAAAGTCTCCTATTTTTGCTTGCATTGAGAGATCTATCGACTAGGCTCTGAGTTCCTGCATAAATTAATAACCAAAAGCTCTGGTTGTATGTGGAGTCACTGGAATCGGGAGTTTGTTGACCCTGCCCACCAACTCTGGAAGACCAATCAGGGGCACAGAGGTTCGTAGAGGCCCCGGCGGTTAGAATGCGACGCGGGACCACCCCCCCCCGGCCCCAATCAACCAATCCAGAGCCCTGGGCAAGTGCCCCCCGCCCCCCCTTTTGCCGTCCACCCGTGGGCGGGACTGGTGACAGTGCACAACAAAGAAGAGGCGGCGAGCAGCACTGCCCATGAGAACGCACGCTTCTCCCATTCAACGCGAGCCCATCCCCAACGCAACCTGGTAACGGTGTTGTTAAAATCGACAACGTGCACCGCAGCGTTGCAAACGTGATAGCGTGAAGCTGTCACGACGGTCGTGTCCGTGGTCTACGGAGTTGCGATAGCGAGGGTTAACGTTGGAACCAAGCACCTGCCATGAGTTTCTGTAAATGATGGGAGTCTCAAAACGCGATGGGGCTGGGCATACCAAAATAAACAATGTTTAATTAAATTTTATCAGGTAAGGCCCACTTGCGCTATGTGGCTCTTTTTCAGAAGCGACCTGGCCACAAATAATTGCTCATCACGTGGAAATTTGTAGCAGCCAAATACTCTTAAACCCATGTTTCTAACTGTGGAGAGAAAAACCAGAGGATCCAGAAATCCACGTGACCACGGGAAGAACAAACTCCAAATATACACAAGCCAGGGTCAGGATCGAACCCACAACTTCCTGCATACCAGGCGAGGGAGTTAACATCTCGCCACCGTGGCACCCCATGCGGAGTTATGCTAAGTTATAGCTAATTTACAAAAGGGAATGCAGATCGCTCCCTTCACCCTGTGTCAACCAAGTAGCTCACAAATTATTGCTATCTACGTTTCTCGAACATTCCTACAAACTGCATAACAATCACCTTGTGTTCCAACTGCAAATGCCACACACTGGACATCTGTGAAAATGAGCTTCATAATTCATCAGATTCCTCCAGTGTAGATAAATATTCCGAAACGCCACTGCCCCCAACTGCTTTTAAAAGTGTGCTGCCGAGAATAATAAACATGCTATAAAAAACACAACACACGTGGGAGCAAAGTAGGGGGTTAACGGAATAAGCGGTTTAGCGGTGTCGTCCCCAACACACCCAACAGACGAATTAAACTCAACCGATGAACTAACCTCCGGACGAGAGAAGGTAGCGGGGAGAAAGCACTCGCCACCGGCTTCTCCCCAAGGCCGGATCAAACAAACAAACCGAGCCGCCTCGGTAATAAACCTCACGCCTAGGGGACAGAGGAGCGTCGCGCAAGGGGTGAATGGGGTACGCGAGAGCCGCGACATGATTATACATAAAATAAACACACAAGAGATTTGATATTTTTTTTATATCCAAATCATGGTGCCGGGCACTTGCTTGTCTACGGTGTGCACTCTCTCAGGAGGAGAGCTGGGAGTTACCACGCGGGCTCGTGTGCGTGCGTGCGTGGGAGTTGCGCACTCCGGCTAGAGGGGCATGTGGTTCCCCTCGACGCTGATCTTGACGGCACGGATCCCCTTGGTGCTCCTACGTTTGTCGGCAAACTTCTTCATCTGCTTTTCCACGCGGTTGATGCCCTTCTTGACAGACCCCTGCACGCGCGGACAAAGTTTGACTGCTCAATGTCGGAGGCTCCTGTCGCGCCAGGGACATGGAACAAGGTTTCTCTTCATTGACTTCTCGCTCAACATTTGCCATGTTGGAAATCATTAAAATAATAAATCTATCCCGATTGCTCAATCGGCATCGTGCCATGAGACTCGCCACCTAATTTGATTTCTCGCTGCGCGGCAATGCAAGTGACAGAACGGCCCACGGAAGCGGATGTTACAGAGACACCTTGGAGCTCCCTTCCAGTCGCCCCTGTTCTACACAATAGGGAGCAGAGCACTTTCCCAACCCACTCTGCATATGATGGTAATGTTTGTCACATGACAGTCAAGCCGATGTTTGCGTAAGGAACAAAATGTAGTTTGATGTTTTTTTGTGCAGGTATCGACTCACTTCACTACACTTGAGAGTAAAGAACTGGACAACTCATAAAAACTTCCTACTCGCGTACGCCATGGAGCATTCAAACTCTACAACAACAAAAATCAAGCTAGAGGACACCTACTCGATTTTTGCTGCACCCGACTGCTTCTCGAGACATTTTCGGTGCGACCCACTGAACTCTGCTTCCCATATTGCCGGATTACACAGCCGTGCGCCACCAAACCCAGCAAATACAGCATCATCACCACCACGGGTTTTTTTTGGTTAGATCGCGTTAATGTGCCGTTAAACCCACCACGACCCGACAGCCAATTCGTAAAGTTTGTCACGTAAATAAAACATGCTAATTCGTGACTAGTCCAGCACACCGGTGTGTTGGAGAGTAAACCCGCAACATTTATTTCATACTCTTTATTTCATAGCCAGAGTTGGCTGTCGCCTGATGATGCTGGTTGCAATTACCGGCAAAACGTCGTACTCGATTGTAAATGTACGTGTTAAACTGACATCATCATCATCATTATTAATATCGGCAACCCTTGCTGGATGAAGGCCTCCCCAAACTGTCGTCACGCCTCAATGGTCCTGCGATACCACGAGCCATCCCGCGCTGTTGCATGCGAACGGAATTCGGCGCTCGATCTGTGCGGCGGACGCCCCTCCTGGTCTCGGCCATCAACCCTTCAAGTGCTGTGCCATGACCACGCTTACTTCCTCGATTCAATTAAGTCGCGAATTCCTATTTCTTTCTACCTCTAAGTGCAATTGAAAACCGCTTTCTGTTTTTAGTTTGTAGGCCTTCCTACGCACGTCCGATTAGCACGGTTGGCTACGTACGGTGGTGCGAAAGAAGCTCAACATAGACACATTCTCCTCGTTCTCCTTGAAGAGTGAACGAAAACCGTGCGCGTTACAAGTTCTAAATTACTTCGTAATTCTTATCACTATTATTATAATAATTGATAATTATCAACGAGCGTACCCGGTTGGAGTCGACCTCGATGTTCCACTTGGGCCGGATCACGTAGTCGCGGTTAGACGGCATGGGGACACGGGCTCGCGAGCAGAACCCCGGGTCGCCCGGCCTCAGCGCCCTGCGACAGGAAAGAGAGATGGTGGAACGCCATCATGAAAATGAATCTCTAATATTTAGTAGACATTGGGGGGTAGTAGTTCTGGACTGAAAATTTTAAATCGCATAGAAATTTTTTAAGGACGTATTTTCTGCTCCGTCCTGTGGATTACAGTGCCTCCGAATCATTTCAGATTTTCGGACACCGTTCGCACAACATACTTATTTAAGTGATGTCACCAAACACAAAAGTGGTTAAGTGGCGTCCATTCCAATGACAGCATAATGGTTTCGGAACAATCCGAAAAAATATTTTTTTCTTAAATTTCGTGAAGAGGCTCAAATTCCGTGATTTTCAGATTCACACAACAATCGTGACCACAACCTGACTCAAGACGCATAATTATGTACCCACCCCCCCCTCCCCCCCCATGTGATTTCAATGAATAGTCCCATTAACAGTTGCAACGCGCTCCATTTCCCTGTTGTCATTATTTGCATCCACGAGTACTTCGTAATTGCAAAGGGTCACGTGATCAAATTACACACACAATGTAGAGGCGCGACCAAAGAGCTCACGCAACTGCTGGCAGAGGGACCTTTATTCAAGACGGTAGTTTTGGCCTACTCTTCCACGCTGGTCAGAAGTTCAAGAAGAAGTGGCAGTATCCACACTTTATCCACCACCACACGGGGCCTGCCGATCCACCGCGATGTACAGATTCATACAGATGGATGCACAGAGGCGGGCAGGGGAGTTAAGAAACTTGAATAGTTGTTTCAACTGCCAGGCCGGGAGATTGAATAATACCGGAGACCTTTGGATTGCAAGTCCAGTGTGCTAACCATTTGGCAAGATTTTCTTAAAATATATAAGATTTGAAATATATTATTTCTTACACACACACTGTGTTGTCCTTCCCCCGCATCTCCGATTATCACGGTTGGCTATGTACTTTGCGAAAGAAATTCAACATACATACATGTATTTGGAGCTTAATAAACGATTAAATGTACAAATCTAAGAACTCAGAATCCGAATGCGATTGTGGCGGGTCTGGTTCTCATCATATACGAAACGCCTACTTACTTTTCTTCTCCAGTCAGGACTTTGTCCAGATCTCTGCGGGGAGTCTGGCCACCGGTGCTGAAAATAAAAACATCATTGTCGTCATCACCATTTCATCCAGCCACTGATAATGGTATGAAACAAGGCAGAAAAATCATGCACCGTCACGGATTACTGTAAACGCTCTCCACCGTGGGTTTGCCTTCGGCAATATCTAATTTGCAATATTAAACGTTTCTCTAGCCAGGCGAACGGGAGGCGATGCAGAGTGATCACGAAGGCTCTATGTTTCACAGATGGGTAGCGTGTGCTAATCGGGAGAGATGTTGCAATGTGCTTTTACCAGAATTAAGGTCATTTGCGGGAAATTAAGTCGCTTTTTGGTAAATTTGGACCGCGGCTCTCTTTTTTCCCCGAACACCATCGCGGGACCCTTGAGCATCCTCCGCGCAGCAACCAGCAGGAATGCGTAGTGCATCATGGTTAATACGGCAAGCGCCGGTATTGACAGGGCGGCCGCCAGTCTCCAACAGCGGCGAGTCTCTGCAACGAGCGGCGATCCCCGGCGTCCTCACCTGAGCCGCCGTCTGTGAGGCATCTGCTCGAGGTCCCGCTGCTCGCGCTCCTCGCGGGACATACCCTTGTAGTTGGAGGTGAGGCCGAAGATGGGACGCGACCATTCGTCTGCGGACGCGCGGGGGGGGGGGGAGGGGGTGGAAACGGTGGTGGCACACGCACACGCAGTCACATGGCCGTCCGCAATCACGGTGGGTAAACGGCGCAGCGAAAGAGTGCGGCAGAGAAGCACGGGGGAGGTGCGCGCTTAAGATTTCGACCAAGCGACGCGAGGAGGAACGCCGCGGATTAACAAAGCGTACGCAGGTTAGAGACGTCTTATCGGTATTGGGCAGAACACGTCGCTGGGATGATGATGGACACAGGTCGAGAGTGACGATGGTGACAGGAAGAAACATGCCTCAGAGGATGTCCACTGTGGAGGCGACGCAATCAGATCAGCTCTCATGCAAATGTTAGACGGAGTTGTGACATCACAGAATCTGTATTCATTCCTCATGGGAGGAATACGATGAGCTATGAAGCTCCTTGTCACCCATGTCCAGTAGGACCGCGAGAGATGGCAACGACGTTGGAAGTCCTGCAGCTGGCAGCGGATTGATCCAAGCTGATGACAACGATACATGTGGGGGATGAAGCAAAGGCGTAGTTGTTCAAGCAATGAGCTGTGATTTCGGGGACCTGATGTGGATTCCTGGCCACGGCCAAGAATGGGACACCATGGCACTGGGGTGTTTGTCAGAGGAAGACAAGCACTGTACAGAAAGAGTGGAGTGGGAGGTAGTAGCGGAACCAGTAGAGAAGGGTAATGGAGACACATACATCATCTTTGAGAAGCTTAAGGAGGTTTGGGGTAGTCTATGCTGTCAATAAACATGCAGAGGGGGTTACGGCAACCAAAATAACGAGAGACATTGGTTTAAAATTTGTCAAAAAAATAAATATCTTAATGCATATGAATAGGAGACAAGCAGTCTTTAAAGAGCCGCAAGTTGCAAACCCCCGGCCATGCAGGAAGGTCTCGAAGAATTAGAAGCGAGTGGTTTAAAACCTGAAGACAGGTCATTGAACACACACAGGTGAGCAGTTTGGATAGAATGGCCTTGGCAGAAACCCGATGACACGGGGTCGTAGAGACCGTCGGGTGGAGAGGTGTTTTTAGAGATGGGGCAATAGAATCCCTCCCAGGACTTTGGAAATGAAAAGGAGTAACGTTAACTGCTGCTATTGGCTCACGATAATTCTCACAAGCAGGAATTCTGATACCTTATTTTTTTTCACAGTAGATTTAATATTATAACTGTCAAACTGGCAACCAAGGTCACTGCTGAAAATGAGACTGTGATCTAGTTAAACAAAGAAACTTAAAACATAAGCTTCCAGTAAGAAGAGCAAATGGTCCTACGGTGGAGATATGTTAACTACCTTGCCTGGTATGCAGGTGGTTGTGGGTTCAATTCCGACCCTGACGCTTGTATATTTGGAGTTTGCATGTTCTCCCTGTAGTCACGTGGGGTTTTCTCCGGGTCCTCCGGTTTTTCTCTCCAAATTTACAATCATTACGCGTTTAAGGGTATCTGGCTGCTATAAATGTCCACATAAGTAACTTAGTCGGGCTATCGTTTGTGGCCAGGTCGCTTCTGAAAAGAGCTCAGTGGGCCTTACCTGGTAAAACAAAAAATAGTTTTTAGTTTCATTAATTCAAGGGAGAAAGAAACATGTTCTTTAATTCAAAGGGAAGTAGGTAGGAGCAGAGGCAACAGGCAAGCAGGCGAGGCCAACGCGAGGGTGCACCACACACGCGCAGGCACACCGGGGGGCCGTGCCGTACTCACTGATGAGCTTGCCGGCCAGGTCTTTGTTTTGCCGCGTCTCCTTCGGGTGCTTGTACAGGTACATGACCGAGCGGCCGATGCCACTCGACTTGAGCGTCTCCTGGGGCACGCTGGGCAGCTGCGTGCAAGCACCACCACCACCGAATTTAGTTGCATGCAACAGTCACACGAATACAACAGTGCTCACCCATTCAGGCCACGAAGCCCTTAAGATTGCGACTTATGTCAGATGAAGCAGACGTCCCTCAGCGGCCTAGTGGAGACCTCACTGTTGCCCTAACTTATCATAGATCTATCAAATTGCCCACTGAATCCACGCCTGCCACCGTCAATGAGACCTGCGACGAGGCCATACGCAGAGGTGATCGCAGATCAATGCAACGAACCCCGGTCGTCGAAAAGATATGACTTGACACACTCTCACCGCGCGGGAATAACAACGGCCGTCATTCGCCATTATGTGGCGGTAACATCACCACAGTGCTCGTGCCAGGCTAGGTGTACAAACTGAGGCCACGTGAACTGTTGAAGACTCGCTGGCAGGTGCTTACGGGACAAACCCAGGGGTGCCATGGGTTGGCCGACTGAGTCGACCGAACAAATGCACACACCCAGGGCGGCGACACGTGCGCGTGGACGTGACGCGCCATCACTCACGTCCTGCAGGACCTTGAGCAGCTCTTCGCGTATCTTCAGGTTGGGCAGGCTCTTGTCGGGCAGAGGGCACAGCCAGTCCCGGATGGCCGACAGGATCCCGCTGTCGATGAACGACTCGACCAGGTCCTGTCTACGTGCCCGCGGGAGGAAGCGGCACGGAGAGGTGGTTACCGCAAGCCGCACGAGCGACTGCACTCATGGCCGAGCCATTGGCCCTAAACGGTCTACGGGTACCCCCACCCCCGAGTAGTGGCACACACGAACAATGATTTTCTTGAAGCATTTTGATCTCGAGATCATCATGCATGTATGGATATGTGGGGAGCGGAAGTGTAGTGGTTGGTGCACCGCACTACAAACCCAGCCGTCTGGGTTCTATTCCTGCTCACGGCCAACACCAGTTCCTGGGCCTCCCCTAGGTCGTCGACTCAGCGTACCTGGTGCGGTGTGTAAACATCGCAGCAAGGGAAACAGGCGGCTATGCGTGGTGCTGGCCACCCACTCGTTCGTGTGCCTTGCTGGCCTTCATTAGGTGCTCGCTAACAGCACTTGCCCCAACAGTCTTTTAAGGCTATACGGAGGATCTTTGTATACACGTGACAATTTAATGTTGGCTGTCGGGTGGTGGAGGGGTGTCAACAACACTAATTGGTGAGATCGTTAAATGGCCTAACCTAAATTCAATTACGAATCATAACATTGAGATGACAAGAAAATAAAGTACGTCTTTAATCAATGCATGTTTTCATTTAGAGATAACGGTGCATTGCAGGCAGAGGAGCAGAGCAAGGTGTCCAGTATGGACTTGAACGATGGTGAGTGAAGATGCGACCGTACTTGCGGAGGTGTTTAATGACAGTGGGCAGCATGACCATCTTTTTCAGGGCAGGCTTCCTCTCCGTATTGAGCTTCTTGTCTTCCTGCGGGCGGTAGGGGGAGACAGACGACATAACTAACGCTAAGCTTCCGAGAGATCTGACGAAATAAGGCAGATTTTTCGGGTCATTTTGTAACAAATGAAATATAATTTGGGGGTAAAAGCACAAAAAAGCAATGCAGGCAAATCGCCCTAAGGTGATAAAGCAGTTTGGCAATTGGGTGAAGACGTGACCAATACCACAAAGCTGGGCAATCAGTTGCGCAACCAAATCTCTTCCGTCACTGCGCAACTTAATCACCTGCAACTGCTTGTCCACATCTGAGAGTAGTTGCACAACAAGGGCATGTCTGGGCATGGCTAAAGTGGGAATCAGAATCTTTATTTAGACTGCAGGAGAAATCCGATGAGCTCTGAAGCTCTTTTTTCACAGATGTCCAGCAAGTTACATCAACATACAATACAAATGCAAAACAGAAAAAAGATAAGCAACTCACAAAAGTATCTAAATTCCTGCCAATTATTCTATCGCATAGTCATGCTCCTTTGACAGGCTAACTCCCCGCCCCCCCCATATCAAAATCGTCACAACCAATCAGAGTTCACCAATGTGCAGAACGCGATGAAAGGCGTCGCTAATAATGTATGCGCCGATCAACGCTCACAAAAGTGGATCCGTCTCTCCGGTGAGAAACCGGGTTGTGCAACGACTCACAATGTACAAGCGGGTAGGATCAGGTCGCGCGCAACGAGTTGCGTGCTCACCTCCGCGGCCTCGTTCATGCGCGTGATCATGGCGCTGATGAGGTCGTCGGCGTCGCTGATGAAGGTGCCGCCATCGCGGTGGCCACGGCGCTGCCTGCGATTCAACTCGCGCTTGCGCTGTAGCATCATGTCGAAGTCCGAGATGAACTCCGTACTGCGTGCGGGCGGACACACGAGCAGAGCGCACGGTCACCGTCGCAGTGAAAAACAGCGGTGTGTTTCATCTACATTATAAGGTCGCACTCATTACACAGCCACAAACGAACCACAATACCTTGCCGATGTCATTAAGGAGCATAAAACCCTCACGCGGGACTCCGGCTTTTGGCGAGCAACCGAACAAAGATGGTCACTGCATCGCACGCTTTTAGATGCGCTTCTGCGGCCGTCTGGAACGCTCTTCCTTCCGATATTAGGAAGCCGCCGTAGCTATGCACTTTTAAATCATCTAGATTGCAAACTCATTCGTTTAGAACTGATTTTTGTGTGAAGTTTGTTGTCCTTCCCCGCACCTCCAATTAGCACAGTTGCCTATGTACGGTGAAGGAAGTTCAATATTCATATATACGAGTCCACCTTTAACCCAGACATTGAATCTACGCACTTGAAAGACAGAAACAGGGGTGGAGACATGAATCTGGTGTCGGTGATGTACACTACTGTATGTATGTTGAACATCTTTCGGACCGTACGTAACCAATCATGCTAAATGCTCCACATTTGGCAAATTTTTAAGTCGAGCCGCTGCACCTCCGGATCGAGAGGAGCCAGCCGAGGTGGTTGAGGCACCTAGTAAGGATGCCCCCCGGTAGACTCCTCCTGGAACTCTACCGGGCAGCACGTCCCACTGGGCAAAGACCCCGGGGATAGCCCAGGAAACGCTGGCGGGACGATGTCACTCGGCTGGCCTGGGAACGCCTGGGAATTCCCCTGAAAGAGCGAGAGTCCGTCGAGAGGGAAAAGGAGGTCTCGACCACCCAACTCAATATGCTGCCGCCGCGACCCTCGCCAGGACAAGCGGATTGAGAAACTAACGAATGAACGAATTACACAATTGGAATAACTGGCAGACTAATGCCCACTTGCAGGCCAGTGCTGTGTTCACCTTGTGCCACGCAATGGACAAGGTGCCATTAGGGGGTCTCCTGGGTTAAATGTTGCGCTATGGAGACCAAAAAGAAATGCAGGTACAGCATTATTATTAACATTACGACTGTGCAGGGATGGAAGCGACTCACTCATTGCCCCTCCGCACTCCTTCATCCGAGTCTGACTCGGACTCCTTGTTTTTTTCACCGGAGGGATCTTTGCCCAGAGCAGATGTCTCCTTCTCCAGCTCCTCCTGTCCGAAACCCTGTGGAAATAACAGCAGCAGCAATCCTGAGATGCGTTCGAACCACGTAAACCATTTCAACACTCAGGACCGATGGCTCCCTCCTTTCTTCCCACTCCTCATCTCAAGCCGTACTCTCTCTGCATGTCTTGGGGACATCTCTCTGTAAATGGGGCGCCGTGGTAGCGAGAGGTTAGCTCCCTCGCCTGCTATACCAGAGGACTTGGGTTCTATCCCGATACCAACGCCTGTATATTTGGAGTTTGCATGTCTCTCCACGTTGTCGCGTGGATTTTTCTCCGGGTCCACATTTAGAAACATGCGTTTAAGAGTGTTTGGCTGCAATATATTTCCACATAATAAGCTACTTCTTGTTGAGCTACCATTTATGATAGCCGGGGTGTTTGAAAAAGAGCTACATAGCCCAGTGGGCATTACCTGGTAAAATAAAAAATAAAAAAATGTTTCAGGTACTCATAATCACACAATGCTGACATCTCCCGTCAACTTCCCCATGCCGGCTGCAATGGATGACCCAAAACTGTTGCTCGGGAACGATCGCCAAAGCTCTCCGTGCTCGGTGTCCGTCCACCTTACCGTAAACTCCTCTTCCTCATTGTCGGAATCCCCAAAGATGTCGGCAATCAGGATGCCCACGCCCGCCCTGGAGACACAAGCGTAGACAGTATTTGACAAAGGAGCAATACTCTTTGGTTCTTTCGGTAAAGTCACGTAGGTATGAAATAAGATACAGTTTTTGTGATTTATTTTATTTTCTACCTACGTGACTTTACCGAAAGAACCAAAGAGTATGGATCGCTGCAGTCACGAAAAATTCTAATCTAAAGGAGCAATGTTAATGAAAGATTGGCAAGTACTGTGCATCGAAAGTCCTTGGAGTACATTTTCGGGCAGGCAAAACACAAGTTTAATTAGCGTCTGCTGGAAGGTCACGTCATGTGTGCGGATGTTATGACGTCGCGTGGCGCCGTGACGTCACGTCTGCTCGCGTTCACAAATGTGCACCTCCCGTCAGTATGGTAGTCTCTCTCTCTCTCGCTCATCTCTCATCTCATTAATCTACTGCTATTTACATCTCGCTGAGAGGGAGCCATATCTCTTGGTGGGTCCGAGCTTGGAAAGCTACTTCAAGAGCCTTTGTGGGCCACATCCTGCCGGTGGTCTGTCAGTTCAAGAACCCTGGTCTATGCCATGCCTTACAGATAATTAAAAAGCAGCATCATTATCATCATCATCATCAATGATTAGCGTAAATAATCATCACCACTGCTAATAGATGGCTTTTTCAAAAAGTAATTTGATCGTCTCATTGAATGTGCCCCCTGCCCCCCTGAGCCACGTACTCATCTGCAGAGTCGCTGTCGCTGCCAAATATCTGCTTCTCCTTTGTCTTGGTTTTCTCGTCGTCACCGCCCTTGACTGGATCGTCGCTACCGCTCTCCGAGTCCGAGTCCATCACTTTGGGTTTCCTCGCCGGCATCTCCCGCTCGGCCTGCCTCTCCTCATTATCCTCCTCCTCGCTGTCACAGAGGATGGCCTTCTTAGCCGGTGGCTCCTTCTCTTGCCGCCGCTCCCCATCCTCGTCATCCTCACTGTCCGAGACAATTGCTTTCCTCGCGGGCGCCTCCTGTTCTACCCGCCGCTCATCCTTCCGTTCCGCTTCGTCGTCGTCGTCGCTGTCCGATACGACGCGAGCTCTCCGAGCGGCTGGCTTTCCCTCTGCTTTTTCCCCACCACCGTCCTCGCCGTCACCGGCATCGCTCTCGGAGTCAGAGCCTCGACGTCGTTTCACCGCCGCTGCTGCCGTTGCCGCCGCCGCGACCGTCGCTGGGACTGCTGCACCACCCTCCTCAACTCCCGAGTCGTCTCCGGCGCGATCTGCTTCGAGGTGTTCGTCGTCGTTTCTCGTCTCGGCGGGCTCCGCCTCGTCCTCATCGTCCGAGATCAACCGGCCGCGCTTTGCCGGAGGAGGGGAACTCCTCGGGGCCTCATCATCGCTCTCCGAGCCCGATTCGGCCACAGGTTCTGGTCTCTTCGGTTCAAACTCCCTGTCAGAGTCTTCCTCCTCGTTGTCCGAAACAACGCGGCTTCTCTTCACCGCTGCTGCAAACGCAAAGAAGCTTCAGCTGCCGAGGGGTGCGAATTACGCTGGTTTAAAACAATGTGTTACAGGGACGTCCGGGTATGAAACGCAACATCTTTTCGCGCTTGCCTTCAGAAAAAAACTAGGAGATACACCGCAGCCTCGAAACGCACCGACCAAGTCTACCAAAACACAAAGGGGGACGTGACATCGCTGATCAGCCGTGTCTAATACACCGATACCAAAAGTTCCATCGACTTACGCGATTTGTCCACCTCTCCTTCCTCATCATCACTGCCCACGTCGGCTTTTCTCTTTTCTGTCAAAACAAAGACAGTGTGCCAGGTCTTAATGGTGTTAACGTTGTTAAACGTCAGCAAAGATGTTACATTACTGATGAAGATGCAAATTATGTGAATAAAGATCAAATCAATGACGAGGTTAAACGTAATTGTTAATTGAATCATTGCGTCCCTTGCACCAACTTAGTCAGATAAATAAATACCATTTGTGGGAGGGCATAGGCCCATGCAGTCAGTAATGGTGCTTTAAAAAAAATGATGCTTATAATGCATTTTCCTGTACTTGAATGTTCATCTCCATCTAAGCTTTCCAGGACATCTTACATGTTGCATTCTCTTCGTAAAACATTTAAAAAATTATCCCGCAGGGCTATGATTTCGAAGCTACTTCTCTTATGTCATTAAATGGAAATCCGCGGCGATGTATCTCCTCACCACCAGTCCTGCCCTCCTCGTGTGCGTCCTCCTCGTGTGCGTCCTCTTCTTCCTCGTCGCTCCGCCGCTGACCGACCTCCTCTCCGCTAGATCGGCTTTCGTGGTCACTGTCAGCCGCCGCCGCCTCTCTCTGCTCCGCGGCCCCCTCGTACGGCCGTGGGCGCACGCCTGCCCCCTCGGCCTCGCTCTCCGAGTCGGTGCGTTCGCCCTCCTCTCGCTCCTCGTTTTCCAGCTCCTCCGCCTCATCGCCGCTGTCGCGGTCGCCCTCCGGGCTGTTGCGATCGCCGTCCACGCTCTCCCTGTCGCCTTCCTCGTACCTGATCGATCGTGGGGTCGGTGTCAAACAATTCAGAGTGAAACCGACGTTTTTTAAAAATTCAAATCAATTCGTGGATTAAATTACGCACAGAATAAACTGTCAATTTAGGATGCACACAGATTATAAGCAACTTTGTCACGAAGAGAAATATAAATAACATCACAAGGTGTAAGTGGGCTTTATTTGTACTTCATGGGAAGAACAGGGTTATGTAAGGAAAACTGATATATCGGGGCACCCAACCCCCGAATTAACCAGGTATTCAGGACGCACTGCCACACTAGGCTCCGCTCTCTGCACACGGTCCGCAGTTATCATCTCATCATCCCCTGACGTCACACCTTTCCCCGTCGTCCGACCGCTCCCCCTCATCACTGTGGCTCCTGCTCAGAGCTTGTCCCGCGTCGTCACCGTCATCGGCGTCGTCGTCGCGGTCCTCGCCCTCCTCCTCGCCGGACTCGGAGCCGGGCTCCGGCGCGGAGCGCTTGTACGGCGCCTTTGGGTTTACGATAAGCAACGCAGGGCGGTTAACGACGACAGCAATCGTCAGTTGGCGTTCACGTGACCACCCCTTGTCTGATATTAACGATCGTATTTGATCAAATGCGGTGTTGGCCGGTTGCGTAAAACACCGTTAAGTGGAGGTGGCCAGGTGGCCCAGAGACCAGAGCGCCGGGCCAGCGCGGCCAAGATCCTAGGTTCGAATCCCGGCAACCACCTGTGATTAAAGCGGGTTCTCAGGTGTAGTGAGTTGATGGTCTCAGCCCATCACCGATGACCGCACACAAAAACTACCACGCCAAATTTGATTCTGCACTTAATCTGTCTTAATTCCAGAGCCGATCATTAATAAATGAGCGTATTGGCGGCACACCGGTGTAGCATAACACACCAGTCCTCATAAAACAGTCAAAAATCTAATTTGAACCGACATTCGTCTTCCGACTGCTTTGACATCACGAGAACTGATTTTGATGCACGCCCCGCAAGATTTTCTGACCGCGTTTGCAAATCGTGGGAAAATAAATAATTATTGCTATTTTTGTTGTTATCGCGCACCAGTGTACCGCCAATACGTTCAAATGTCGATGTGACTGTCATGCGACGAATATCACTTAGAAAATATATAGTGGTAAAACGTATTACCACTGCCCTTTCGTTAGAACAGTCAGTGCGGATCATAGAGATTGACTGACTTAGCAGATCGCACGTTCTGCAATTGTCAATATCTCTGCCCTCTCTACTTTGAGAAAGGCCCAATGCCCAAAACAAAAGTCGACTGTCCACATATTGTTGTGTTATTCGGCAGCATTTATTCTGAGTGTGGTTATATTTGTGGGGGGGGGTTTAATTAAATCGATGGCTTATTAAACAGGTTTATACCCCTTCATGCAGCAAGGGTTTTAGTCCATTTGTTTTATACGAAGCCAGTTGGTACCCCTTCAATGTAGGAAGTAGTTAGATGGTCCTCACCCCTTCAGGTTGTTCTCCGTCGCTGTCAGAGCCGAAGTCTCGCTCGTCCTGCACAGGGGTGGCCCCTCCATCACCTGCCGCAAGGGGGTTACAAGCGGCTCCGTGAATTCAACTTCACTGTCCTCAAACCGAGCTTCCTCCAATAACACAAATTACACAAGCCATGAGAGAAGGTAGCTGTTCATCTTGTATACCCAAGCTCTGCCATGGTTTGTCCAACACGTTTAAAATTTCAATAATGACAAAGAGTATCCAGTAAAGTCTTATCAAGTCTCAAACATCAAGATGCATGGCCAATTCCTTTACAATTTGATCACTTTAATGTATTCAATTAAATATGATGCCTTCCGAAGGGTTTGGTAGTCAGATTATAAGATGCTCTGGAAAATAAGACGCATCCCAAATCTTATGGTCGGTGTGAATGAAGTTATAAAAATCTGGTCACATACACACATTGGATTATAAGAAGCACTTTCGCTTTAAAATACAATACTGGGAGAAAAAGTACGTATTGTAATCTGGAGAATGCAGTGATGAAAAAAGTTCATGTCAATTCCAAATTGTTCGTATACAATGTATATAAATGTCCAAGTCCCACAGATTAAAGTGCGATCTCCAACGACACGTCAATCTTTCTTTCGTCTAAAGGGCCGTTACATGAAACGTCAGTTTGGTATTTGTTGTAAGTATTAATGACGAATGCAGTCAGTTTGTATCAAATATTTTGATGACTTTGACTAAGGCTACTTTAGAATGTTTAATTGTTATTGTATGGGCTTAAGAGAGCCGGACTAAGACACCTTAGGAATTTTAGGGTGGTGTCCAAAAGTCTGAGGCTTAGTAGTTATATGAAGGCACCTTTAGCATCCTTGTGTTTCAGTCCTAATGTTAACGGATCGAAGCGAACTAAAGCGCCTTTCAGATACGTATGGTTCAATGTTAATACCTGTGGCTCCGAGAGCCAGACAAAAGACACCTTCACGATCATTATGTTTCAGTGTTAAAGCGCTAAGCTCACAAGGAAAGCGTTTCAAGAGCAGGAGAGACACTTTTAGAACCCTTATTCTTAATGAATCGCAGGGCCTCAATGAGTCCCAACAAAAAAAAACACGCGAAGGGTTCTTACGGTTCAACGTTTGCGCTCGAGGCTCACAGAGCCAGACCAAGACATCTGAATGGCTCACAAAGGAGGCAATCTCTCGAGTGCGGCACAGCCGTTTCCCCTCGCTCGCCCCCATCGGGGTTCCGCGATTAGGCCGCGCTCCCGCCTGCCGCCTGCCGCCTCCCTCTCACCCCGAGCCGGCCGAGCCGCTATCCGAGAGTCGGTGAGCCCGCGCGCGCGAGGCCTGCTTACTCGGGCTGGGCGCCTCCTCGCCCTCCTCGTACTCCGCTCCGTTGTCCGAGAAGTCCGCCTCCATGTGGGCAGCGGCGGCGGCGAGGAGGACGTCTCGGGAAAGGCTTCGGGGTGGGGTGGGGGAGGGGGAAACGGGGTGAGGAAACTCGAGGAGATGGAGGAGGTGGAGGGGGCAGCCCGCGGAGAGAGCGGCGAGGAGACGGAACCCGGAGCCGCGGACCCGCGGCGGCGAGGAGGAGGAGGAGCACGGGAAGCCGCGGCGCTCGTCTGAGCGCTTGGGAGGCAGCAAGTGCCGCGAAACGACGCCTGCTGATTCGCGCCGCGTAACAAAACAATGTTTTTTGCTATAGAATGTAAGCTTTCGTGACTGCATAAATCACTATACTCATTGTTTTTTTTGGGGTAAAGTCACGTATGTAGAAAATTATATTAAAATAATAATGATTTATTAATATATTTTTCTACGTGACTTTACCGAAAAAAAACAATGAGTATAATGTTTTTGATTTTATGCGATACGATACCCGCCCGCTAGGACGACACCGCGATATATCGCGTGCTGCGTAACGATACCGCGATACATCGTGCGCTGCGTAACAAAACCGCGATAGATCGTGCGCTGCGTAACGACACCGCAATAGATCGTGCGCTGCGTAACGACACCGCGATAGATCGTGCGCTGCGTAACGACACCGCGATATATCGTGCGCTGTGTAACGACACCGCGATAGATCGTGCGCTGCGTAACGACACCGCGATAGATCGTGCGCTGCGTAACGACACCGCGATAGATCGTGCGCTGCGTAACGATACCGCGATAGATCGTGCGCTGCGTAACGATACTGCGATAGATCGTGCGCTGTGTAACGATACCGCGATAGATCGTGCGCTGTGTAACGATACCGCGATATATCGTGCGCTGCGTAACGACACCGCGATAGATCGTGCGCTGTGTAACGATACCGCGATAGATCGTGCGCTGCGTAACGACGCCGCGATAGATCGTGCGCTGCGTAACGACACCGCGATAGATCGTGCGCTGTGTAACGATACCGCGATAGATCGTGCGCTGCGTAACGACACCGCGATAGATCGTGCGCTGCGTAACGACACCGCGATAGATCGTGCGCTGTGTAACGATACCGCGATATATCGTGCGCTGCGTAACGATGCCGCGATACTCTTTGGTTCTATTCGGTAAAGTCACGTAGGTAAAAAATAAAACAACAAAAATCACGACGTTTCGGCCACAACACAAGCGGCCTTCATCAGGTGAAGGGACCAGGCTGTCTCGAAGACTGCGCTGGAGTGAAACAGAGCCAAGCTCAGACTGCGACCTTTAAGCTGTGTGAGAGGAATTAAGGTGCCTCGACAAAGGAATTAGCATAAAAAATTAGCATTTGATTAGCAGACTTAACATGATGAAAGGTGTAGCACGCGGCAGTGCACCTTTGTGAGAGGGATTAAGGTGCCTTGACAAAGGAATTAGCGTAAAAAATAGCATTTGATTTGCGGACTTATCATGATGAAAGGTGTAGCACAGTGAGTGCACCAGCCTGTGCTGCGAAAGTTTGGGGTACCACTACTTGAAAAAATATACTGTACCAATGAAAATTAGTTTAATGTTTAGTTCGATTTAGAACATCTTTCCAATGGTTGCTTAATTTGAAACCATCTTCTCGGTTGAAATTGTGTCTGTGTTTGTAGATCTGAATTGCCTTGTGAACAAATCTCTGATAAATACCTGTGGGTTTGCATAGAACCTTGGTATCGGAGAAAATTATATCGTGATCACCCACAGCGTTGTAACAGTGATCAGCCACGGCAGAAGAATTCGTTCTGCCGTGTTTCAAATCTGATTTGTGCTCGCGAATTCGGTCAGAGACATGTCGCTTCGTCTCCCCGATATAGCAATCACCGCAGGTACAACTCAATTTGTAAACCCCGGGGTACTGTAAGTCAGGAATGACATCCTTCACGGATGGGATCAGATCACGAGTTTTATGTACTGTATTGAACCGGACCTGGATCTTGTGTTTGTTTAGAATTTTGGAAATCTTTTTAGTAACGCCTGCTATATATGGTAGTGTGATGGTTTTGACCGGAGTATCAAGTGGTTGTTTCTGTATGGAGGGAGAAACAGCTTGGCGGATGGTACGGTCAGAGTATCCATTCCTTTTGAGGGCCAGGTGTACATGTTTCAATTCACTGGTCAGGTGGTGTTGGTCCGAAATGCAATGAGCCCTATGGTATAAAGTTTTGATGAGAGAATTATTTTGGGCTGGGTGGTGGTGGGAATCAGGCTTCAAGTAGGAATCTGTGTGGGTGGGTTTCCTGTAGACAGAATGCCCCAATGAGCCATCAGGTCTCCTCTCAAACAACATCCAAGAATGGTAGCTTGCCATTTTTCTCCACTTCCATGGTGAATTTGATGGCGGTCCGGTTCAATACAGTACATAAAATTCGTGATCTGATTCCATCCGTGAAGGATGTCATTCCTGACTTACAGTACCCCGGGGTTTACAAATTGAGTTGTACCTGCGGTGATTGCTATATCGGGGAGACGAAGCAACATGTCTCTGACCGAATTCGCGAGCACAAATCAGATTTGAAACACGACAGAACGAATTTCTTCTGCCGTGGCTGATCACTGTTACAACGCTGTGGGTGATCACGATATAATTTTCTCCGATACCAAGGTTCTTTGCAAACCCACAGGTTTTTATCAGAGATTTGTTCACGAGGCAATTCAGATCTACAAACACAGACACAATTTCAACCGAGAAGATGGTTTCAAATTAAGCAACCATTGGAAAGATGTTTTAAATCGAACTAAACATTAAACTAATTTTCATTGGTACCATATATTTTTTCAAGTAGTGGTACCCCAAACTTTCGCAGCACAGGCTGGTGCACTGCCGGTGCCGATCACTGTGCTACACCTTTCGTCATGATAAGTCCGCCAATCAAATGCTCATTTTTACGCTAATTCCTTTGTCAAGGCACCTTAATCCCTCTCACACAGCTTAAAGGTGCACTGCCGTGTGCTACACCTTTCTTCATGCTAAGTCCGCCAATCAAATGCTATTTTTTACGCTAATTCCTTTGTCGAGGCACCTTAATCCCTCTCACACAGCTTAAAGGTTGCAGTCTGAGCTTGGCTCTGTTTCACTCCAGCGCAGTCTTCGAGACAGGCTGGTCCCTTCACCTGATGAAGGCCGCTTGTGTTGTGGCCGAAACGTCGTGATTTTTGTTGTTTTATTTTTTTCCTACGTGACTTTACCGAATAGAACCAAAGAGTATGGATCCTTGCAGTCACGAAAGCTTCAAATCTAGAATTGATGCCGCGATAGATCGTGCACTGCGTAACGATACCTTGCGTGACAAATCGCGTCTATACTCTTTGGTTTTTTCGGTAAAGTCACGTAGGTAAAATAAAATAAATTGAAATAAAAGAAAACAATTAAATCACGACGTTTCGCAGACAACACAAGCGCCCGTCTTCAGGTGGAACAGTCACAGCAAGATCGCTGCGTCTGTCCGCGTCCTCGGGATGCCGCGATGTGACGATACGGCGACCGATCGGCTGCTTTGTTTACCGTAGTATCCCGATTAAGAGATGCTCAGGGAAGTAAGACATGGAGGTTATTTTGAGAGAGAGAAAAACAAGTATAACTTTGGAAAATTTTAAAAAAAGTAATCGGGGTAAAGCGGAAAACTATTGTGTAAAACACGATAAAGGTACGATAATATAGCGCATTATAGGGGGAAGGAACGTGCGTCTTATCCGGAGAATACGGTAATTTCCACTGCGTACGAGTAAGACTAACCATGCACACGCAGGGATTTTGTACCGTCTTCTTTGGTTCTTTCGGTAAAGTCACGTAGAATGAGAATAAAATAATAAATTGATAAAATAAAATAACACAATAATATTCTCACGACGTTTCGGCCACAACACAAGCGGCCTTCATCAGGTGAAGGGAGCGAGACTGTCTGGTAGGACAGCGCTGGAGTGAGAGAGCCACGTTCAGATCACGGCTTTTTAAGCTGTGTGAGAAGAACAAAGAGCCTTGACGAAGGAATTAGCATAAAATTTAGCATTGAAATGGCTGAATGATTAGCTTGTGACTGGTCACAGAAATAGCTATGTTAAAAGTTAAAGCATACACATCCGCAGAGGCACCCATTGTTAAAAGGAATTAGCATAGAATTTAGCATTGAAATAGCTAAATTAAGGCATACACATCCGCAGAGGCACCCCTTGATAATGGGATTAGCATAGAATTTAGCATTGAAATGGCTGAGTGATTTGCTTGTAACTGCTACAGAAATAGTTACGTTGAAGTCAGAGCATACACATTCACCGAGGCACTTAGTACAAATCAAACAGGAGAATTTAGCATTGAAATAACTAGGCGAATTTAGCATTGAAATAACTGGGTGATTTGCTAGTGACTGGTCACAGAAATGACTACACATCTGAGCTATTCACAGTACTATATAGTGAACCAATAAAAACTAAAATATAAATTACCTTCATGTTATCAATAAACTCTATATTCTCCAATCAGCTAAGCTACCAACCATAAGTCGTTATATATCACAATGCTATATGGCGAAAAAATGGGTGGATTCTTACCCTCAAATTTCCGTACCACGGATAGCTACGGGCCCCGTTCAGACGGACGAGTTCGTCCATGGTCGGAACAGAGGAGGGGGAGAGAGACAGCTGCGAAGCCCTAGTATACTCCATGTTGTAAACCATACCATTAACCGTGGTGTGAGAGGTATTAAGAGGCAATGCTGGCGAAAGAGCTGCGGTCTGAAGGTCATCGTAAAATTACAATTAATTAAGAACAGAAATGATTTAACACATCTTTCCAGTGGTTACTAAGCCTGAATCCATCTTCTCGGTTGAAATTGTCTCTGTGCTTGTATATGTGAATGGCCTCATGAACGAATCTCTCATGGTAGCCAGTTGCTTTGCAAAGAACCTCCGTCTTGGAGAAGTCAATGTCATGTGAGCCCACTGAATTGTAACAGTGATCTGCCACGGCAGAGGAGTTCGTCTTACCGTGTTTCAAGTCTGCTTTATGTTCGCGGATGCGGTCCGAGATATGTCTTTTGGTTTCTCCAATGTAGCTACTACCACAGAGGCACTTTAGTTTGTAAACGCCCGGGTACTGTATGTCTGGAAGAGCATCTTTTACAGATGGAACTAAATCACGGATTTTGTGTACTGTGTT